GGAAAAAAAAAGAATATAAAATAGAGATGGTGGATGGTGATGAATTTTATTTTAATAGTGCTAGTTACACATCATTTGTCGTGGTATAAATGTCTTCATCTGCATGGCTGCTATATACTATATTCTATCCATATCTCAATCTTAACATGTCACTCGTGTTATACCTTCAACAACCAAGAATAATATATAAACATGCACCTTTTATATTATAAATATATTTTTTTTAATTTTAATTTTTATTATATTATATATCTTTCTATCTCCTTTTCTTATTAGATTAGTATTAAGTGTTCACCAATCTTTTTTCTTTTTTTACAAACGAGATGCAAAACATTATTCTTGCGAACAATTGCTAAAAATGAATTAAAAAGTGTATAGACATCATTTAAAGAATGAGAATCAAATTCAAAGGCACGGATAAGTGTTGTATTGTCTCTTTATGATAACATTTGTTTTTAAATGATTGCGTGAAAAATCATGCCTTGAGCAACCCGTTGACATTTTGTTAATTATTGTACTATAGAAATTTCGAATCTCCGGTATAATATTTTTGTATAACTCCTTTGTAATTTAAAAAAATAAAAACAGAGATGCGTATTTTATGACAATATAAATCATAAAAACCAGTCAAATGATAATACAAATCATAAAAGTGAGTCAAATGATAATACAAATCATAAAAATAGTATAAAAATTTGTAAGGAAAAAAATAGTACGTCAAATGTTAAATCCTAAATCTTAAACCTAAATTTACTCCATTCAATAATTCATATTTTATATTAATTAATGTCAATGATTCAATGATTGAATTAAAACTTTTTAATGTATAAATTAAATTTACAAATTTTTAAAAGATTTGAAAATTATTTTATATTTTGTTATATAAATTTAAATCAATATATAAAATATTTTTGTTTGTCAATTTGAATTAATAAGATAAAGTATCAAATATTTTTCAATTTTTTAAATAATTTGTAAACTTGTTCTATGCATTAATTTTTTTTTAATGTAATAATTGAATAGTTAAAATTTAATTTAAAATATAAATTATTGAGTAGAGAAAATCTTAGAAGACTTAATCTTAAAGTAAGTGGATCCATTCTCTTTCTTTGGAGGGATTCATTTATTCCAAGGATAAGTTTTGGTTGACTTACTTTACTCAATAACTTATATTTTACATAAAAATTTAACAATTAAATTGTTAAATTAGAATTTTTTAATACATAGTTCAAGTCTATAAATTTTTTAAAAATTTAGAAATCATATGATACTTTGTTGTATAAATTTTAATTAATGTATAAAATACCTTTATGATTATTGATCAATTTGAATTAATAAAATAAAGTATCAAATAATTTTATTTTTTTTATAAAATTTATAAACTTGATTTATGCATTAAGAACTTTTAATGACACACTGAAATTTAATGTAGAACATGAATTATTAAATTAAGTAACTCTACCAAAACCTACTCTTAGAGTAAGTGGATCCTCCCCCCTTTCTCTACCTACTCTTAATGACTGACTTTGTAGTTTTTAAAAAAATTTAACTAATAAAAGTGTGTGCTAAGAGGAGTGTGTTATAGAATATGTTGCTAGCACTCCTCTAAATGCATATTAGTTGTCATGTGTAAATTAATTAAAAGTTAGGTGAAATATAAAAGTATAATTGACAAACAAAATTAATGATATCTTTTGAAAATGACAAGTAAATAAAAAAAAAATTTACTAAGAAACTAAGAAGTAAAAAAGAATGGAAGAAGTATTATGAACTAAACCTTCTCATGTGACAACCACCATTAACCCATCACCTCAATAACAATGAGAGTGTTGACAATGGTGGTGGTGGAGACAATGACATTTATAATCATTACTACTACCATCATCACCATTATTACTATTAACAAATATTTATCACCATTATTATTGTCATTGTTATCATCATTGTAACTTTTTCATTGTTTCATAACCATTGCTTATCACTATCATTATCATTATCATGTCATAATCTTCGTTGTTATTGTTCTCGTCATTGGCACAACCACTACTCCCATAGTTACTGTTGAAGATGAAGGTAGTAATTATGCATACAATGAGAGTGGTGGTGGTATGGTAGTTACCATGAGATGGTAATTCAAAATACTTTAACAAAAAATTTAATCCAATCATCAAATAAGTTACTTTTAATCCAAATACTATTATTCAATCCTCTCATCTCTTGTAACAAGACATTTTTCTCTCTTGATACACTCTCTATGCATGTATATAATAATTATTTGGGAACAAGATTTACAACAAAGTGAAAATTTAGAGATCACACAATGCAATTAAACCTAATATTAATATAACTATTTATAAAATTAGTATTTTAATATGTGCAATACACATATACGTTTATTATATATAATTAAAATTTATAATAAATTATATATATATATATATATTATGTTTGAATATATAAATTATAATTAAAATTAGTATATATAAATATTTTTAAACATATAAATTATATTTTAGATTCATGAATAATTTTTATATTATTACAAAAATTTATTTTACTTTTTGATAATTTAATTTTAAAATTAATATTTAATTTATAAATAATTATAAAAAATAAAAATTGAATTTAAACAAATTCTTAAAAACCTTTTCGTTGAAAAAAAAATCTCTAGAAAATACTTTCGCGTAAAATAAATGTTGACGTTTAATATATAGGGTTAAATTAAAAATGAACTTCAATTTATAAAATTAAGCTTAATAGGTTCGAATAAATTTGTAGCGGTATAAAAACAGGTGTTCTTGGACAAGATTATGATAATCCAGTGGGTTAAATTTGAGAGCAGGTGCCCCACTTGACATTTAAAGAAAGTAGTTAAGAAGTCTGCTTAGATAGTTACTTGTTTCTACAACTTGTTCTGCTCATCTTAACAATCATAGCTGATATTCGGAAGCACCATGGTTGTTAGCATTTATGAACAGGGCCCACACTAAAGTTCTAGCTAGCAGCTAGCAGTAATCGTAACCTCTAAAGCACAACCATCACCACGGTGGTGATCATAAGCACCAGCACCACCCAATTACCAAACATGCACTCTACACAAGTTATCCTAATGTCATCGGAACAAAACCTCTAAACCCTTTTACACCATGCATTCACTAGAGTTACAATGGCTCATACGTTGGTTTATGATGACACAGGTAACAAAAAAGTGAAAAAAACAGATTTAATATACTTGCCTAATGATCTGTCAATCAAACAGATTTGAGAAAGGAAACAGTAACGTTGCTAAAAGAAGCAAGAACCTTGATAAAAGGAAATTTGGACCCGTTGATTATAGAATTTAAAACCCAAATGCAGATTTTCTTAAGAAACTAGATTAGAAATTTACTCGATCTTACAAAATTAAACTTATACTATTATAATATTATTTTTAGTCGATGAGAATCTTCAACACATTCTCTTATGTCAAGATTGAACATCTCAAATTTTAAATTTGAAAATTGTATCACTAGACATCTGCGAGTAATTCAATAATAGTATGATAACAGGTGGTCTGATAAGTCTTATAATACTATATTATACTTTGATACTATCTTAAAAAACTGGAATAAGAATCTAATTTAATCTTACAAGATCAAATTATAAGACAAAAATTACTTCTTAGTTATTTTACATTATTATAATTTTATTCTTAAACCATGTGAGATCTTCAAATGGTTGGACACATACACAAACATATTTCTTTTGATAAGTGAAGAATTAGTTCTTAATTAAAGAATGTTTACTTGTAAATGCATTCTAATTTTCATATCAGTAGTGAATCAATAGGGTAGCAATTTATGAAAAGTAAGTTTACATGATCAGATACACTATAGTCTTTGAATGCAAATAAGTCACGACCATAACATCTTAGCACAATCACGAGATACTTGCCAATGAAGAGTGTGTGGGTTCAGCTTTTAATATTTTAGAATTCCTAGAGGGGGGTGTGTGTGAGAAAGTGTTGAAGATTCTTTGATTTGTGTGGTGTAGGCTGAATGACGTAATGGGCCACAGATTGGGTAGTAAGCCCAGTGAGTACCTTGGATAACCTGGACTGTTTTGGGCTTCATTTTGCTGGTTAAATTGGGCTTAATAACGTAAACCCTGAAGCTGCTGATCGTGTTAGTTAGATAAATCCAAAACTAAAATTTAAAAATATTTCAAAGAAATTACATATTCAATATTCGTTGAGACACCGGTTAAAGTGAAATATGATCATGTACTAAAACTATTGTAAATATTACTTAAATATACTCACTTTTAAAAGTGAATTTCTAGAAGGCAATCCCATTAATACAAAGTAATAAATAAACAATACATGTATCTGGTCCCCAATAAACCGGTGGTATGTTGGATTGAATTTTTATTATGTTGTAATTAATGGTGTGTTTGGATGAGAAATTTTATAAATTTAAAAATTTTAAAATTTTTGGTATTTGAATTATTTTAATTTCAATTTCTTTTATTTTTAAAATATTTTGTTTGGATAAGTCAATTTAAATTTATCAAATTTTAAATTGTTAAGTTGGATATAATAATTTGATTCTCACATGGTAAATTTAATTTTAAAAATATATTTATATGTTGAGATTCTTAAATTAAATTTTATAAAAAT